TTAAAAGATTTTGATGTGCAGTTGAATTGATTTTAGATCTTTTAACTTTTTTATCACGAATAGTATTTATATTCGAAGATGTATTTTCATATTCCTGTAGAAATAGATTTGAAATATTTTTATCTAACGTTTCATTTTGTTCATCGTTATCATTAGAAAATTTATCTTCTTCATATTCTTGATGAATATCAACGATAACATCCATTGATTTTGATGAAAATTCCGACAAATTCATGATTTCTATATTAAATAATAAATAATTTTAATTCATTTAGTTTAATTTTATTTTAATTTTTTTATAATGAATATTAATAAAAACTTCTATATTTTGTATATTTATATACTAATATTGATGTTATTAGCAGAAAATAAATACTTATTATAATAATCAATTTTTCTTTATTAATACAATTTAGAATTCTATATTTTATTTTTTATTTTTAAATTGAAAATTATAAAGAATATAAAGAATTTTTTAATTATAGATATTTGTAATATTTTTTTATTGTATTTTTGATTTTTAAAATTATTATAATATACTCGAAATGAATATTTTTTTATTTTTCAAATATATACATAATTTTTTTTTAAATAAAATGTAAACACAAACACATACGTACATATACACACATACGTACACACATATATTCTTTTATTTTAATGAAAAAAAATTATTCAATAAAAACTTCAAAATAATTTAGTTTATATTTCAATATGTTTTATAATAAACATAATTATAAAAAAAATTTTACATCATATAAAAATATAAAATAAAGTAATAAAGTATAATAAAAATAAACTATAAATAAATAAAATAATAAATAAATAAAATAAATTTTTATTAATATTTTATTTTAGAAAAAAATGAAATATTTTATTTTATTTTTATTTTTTCTTATTAAATAAATTTTGCAATATAAACTAAGTCTATATAATCCTTTTTATTACTTTTTGTACAAACATTTAATGTTTTATTTTGTTCTATTGTTTTTTAGAGGTTATGTAGTTCTTTCATTTAAATCTTAATAACTTTTTGATTAATATATAAATTGATATCATTAATTTACTTATTTTTTTTTAATAAAATGCATTAAAATATTTGTATAGTAATTTTTTAATATATCAAAAATAATTTTCATATAACTTTATTATTTTTTTTAAATATTTTTTATATTTTTTTATATTTTTTAAAAATTACACTTTTATTCAACTGTAATTTTTTTCACTGAATTATAATATTTATACTTATATTATAAATAAAGTGTCAACTTTTTATTCAAAACGAAAATACGTCTGCAACTACACAAATATATGTAAATATCTAAAATAACAGTTCTTTTGATAATTATCATCCGGTAAATGTTTTTAGAATTCATTGGAAATTTCAATTCAAATTCAAATCAATATTATTATCAGTTTTTAACTGATACATTATACCTATTCTCATCCGATAAATAATAGAATTTATCGGAAATTACAATTAGTGTTATCAGTTTTTAACTGATATATATTTTTTCTATTATCATATATATGCGGCTAAAAAAAAAATACAAAGAAAAGAAAAAGAGAATAAATATTTTTTATATAGATATTTATTGTACAATAATTTTTCAAATAATTACAATTATTTTATTGAAATAATCATAATTAAATAAATTTGAAATTTAACATATAGGAGAATAAAAATTTTTTGAATTTATATATATATAATAAAAATAATGATTTTAATTTATTTCTTTGTTCGTCATATATTTATTACTTATTTACTATTGTTTCTTGTTTTTGTTCTTTTATTAATCCCTAATAAAACAACAACAAATTTTTAAATAAAATTTTTTTGTTTCTTCCCTTACATTACATTAAATTATATATATATTTTAAAAATATATTACACTTACTGCTTTTATAACATTTTCATAATCTTCTTCGCAATGTATTAATATTTCATTATTATTATTAAAATATTTAAGATTTTTTTCATTATTTTTTGTATTTCCTATCGGACATTCAATTTCAAAATTTATATTTCGAAGAGATTTCATTTTCAATCTTTGTTCTCTGTTTTTAGCTTCCTTTACCTTTTCTCTACGTGTTTCTCTATCAAGAAACTAATTTCAATTATTTGAATGTGACAGAATTACTATATACAATTATTATATACATTATATTAATAGAACTTACTGTTGTAAATAAAACTTTATCATTTTTTTGATTAGTTGTTAAAGCTTTTGAAAATTCAAGTAAAAATATTGTTCCTTTTTTATTAGCTATTGCTGCTAATTGTCCTTGTTCATGTGGTTTTATATATGTTAACACTTCATCACAAACCTAATATATGTTATATTAATTCTTAAATATAAATAACATTGTTTAATAAATTAAAATGTATTTTTAATCTATAATTGGATGATTTTTATTGAATTCTTTATCTTAAATATGAATTCAAAAAATAAAAAAAGAGATAGATGACATAACATTATTAAATATTTTCTCGATTTGTCTAAATTCAAATTTTTCATTTTGTTTCGATATTTTTTTTGAATTTTTTTTTTCACAAATATCTAATTCCAATATTGTATAAAAAATTGGTTTTATGAAAATTTTTTTATAAAAATACAAAAAATTTACAAAAAACTACATATATTCTTTTTTTAACTTTGATAATTTTTTACAATCATAGTTTTTACACTCAGATTTTTAAAACTATGAAATTAAATAATTATTGATGCTTTTATTATGTAGAGAATTTTTCTCCATTGTTAAAAACTAAAAGAACTATTTTAGTGTAATATTTCAACATTTTTATTTTTATCAAAAAATATTATATTAAATTATATTTTCAAAACAAATGTAATTCTATTTCACATTTAAATTCAATTAAAATCATTCATTAAATATTTAAGATCAAAATTTCTATTATATGATATAATATATTAAAATGAACATGCTTTCACGCTAAGAACTGGAGAATCTTGTTGAATTAACAAATCCCATATATCTAATGTTCCATCCATTTTTATCAAAAAAAATACAGAAAATCGTGTTATACTCCAAGCTCCACCCATTAAAAAATTTCTGTGACCACTAAAATTTTAATGAAATTATATATTATATAATTATTAATATTAAAATATAATTCTAACGTAATTTGTATTAATTTTAATTAATTTAAATTAGGTTTTTAATATATTTACGGTGTCCAAGCAATGCAAGATTCTTTACAATCTTCAGACCATATTCTTGTTGTCCAATCTCCAACAGTTAAAAAATTTTTAACAAATGTTGGATTTCTTTCTAAACTTATTACAGGTCCATATTGTGCTTTGAATCTTGTTGCAATTTTTTCATTTGAAGTTTTGCCTTTGCGATTTCCTGATATTACTATACCTAAATAGAGAATAAACATAAATATTATTATATCTAAGCATATATCAATATACAAATATATATATGATTATAATATAAGGTTTTTATTTACCATTTTCAAGACCACACATAAAACGTGTACCCATAGATGGTTCAAATTGTAATGCAGAAATTCCAATTGCTTTATTAATATTCTGATCATCAGGTTTATATAAATCAATTACTAATGTTTCTGTAGGCATTTGTAATTTTCTAATATCCCACCACATTATCTATACAATTAATTTACAAATTATATTTATTTTTACTTTATTTTATTTTTAATTTATTTTGTTTAATTAATTTATTTTTATTTAATTTTTATTTTATTTTGTTATTATACCTGTCCATCTTTTGAAGCACTGAAAAATTCTGTGCCAGTTTTAGAATTTATCCATAAAACTTTATTACATAAATCTCTATGACTAAATTCCATTAAACTTGTCTCAACTAGTTCTGATCCTTTTCTAATATCCCAACAAGCTACTTGACCAGTCATTAATCCACTAATTAATATGTTGCTATCCTTGGGATTGTATTCCAGTGTTAGAATTGGACAGAACGGTTTTAAAGTCATACAAGGTATATTTGGATTTTCTATGAATTTAAATAAAATATAAATCTTTTTTTTAGAAATTTTTTAGAAATTATAAAAATTAAGTTTTTCAACTTACCTACATCCCAAATATATGATTGAGAATTATCATTTATTGCATTTCTAAAATCAGTATTACAATAACTAGCTGCAAAACGATTTCCTTGATCTGGTGACCATGAAAGATGTGTTATTTGTCTTTTTATTGGTAAAATATCACGATATACATTAACTGTACGTGAATACATTTGTTGTATTAAAGAAACTGGTTCCATATAACTAAAGTATTGTTCATAAATATTACATACATTATTCTGTGAAATACATTGTTCCATTGGCTAAAAATAATAAAATATATATTGATAGATTTATTAATAGTAAAATATTAAGATAGAAAACAGAAAAAAAAATTAATTACAGGTAACAATTGAAGCATTGTATGAATATATAATTCATCTTTTTCTATTTTACGTTTATATCTCATAGTCTGTTCTATATCTTTTGCATTTAAATCTTTTGGCCAACCACCTTCAGAATGACACATACCATTATCTTTAAAAGTTGCAGTATTAGTATTCACCTGAAAATATTAACAATAATAATAATATTCATATATATATATATATTTTTAAATATAAATTTATATGCATATACCTCATGAACAGAATATATATTGCTACATTGAGTTGCCCGAGTTGTAGGATTTATTTGAATATAATGATTCATATATCCTGTATGTGGTTTAATATCAACTTCTACTTTTTGATAATTTGTAAAATTACATTGTTTTCCAAATTCTAATCGCTGTTTTGTATAAATGTATTGCATGTTAATATTTTTTGTATATCAGATTATTTTTAATTTAATCAATAACTTATTTAATGAATTAAAATATTTAATAAATTGCTAGATAAGATTATTAATTTTAAAAAGGAATAATTTAAATTTATAATTTTAATTTAAATAATTGAAATAATAATTATTATCACTTATAAATCAATTATAATTAATTATATTTATTTTATTAGCATTAAAAATCATTAAAATATTTCATTAATTTATAAAATTATACACTGTATTTATAAAATAATATCCATTGTGTTTTCTAATTGCTATAGTAACAAATATATATTTCTTTCACTATCTCTCTCACTCACTCACTTATTCACTCTTTTTCTAAGCAATTTTATAATAATAAGTATTATCATAATCTTTATTTATTAATTCTTACTAAAATAGGAATTTTTGGATCTAAACCTTGATAGAGAATAGAAATCATTTTATAAATTTTCACATATTCCAATTGTGTATAATCAAAGAAGATCTCCATGTTAGGAAGTATGTCTTCTAAAATAATCTTAATTAAATCATTATAATATTGTATATATTGAAATTTTTGCATTATATCAAAGAATAATAATAATTGATCTTTATTTGTATAACGTATACAACATATTTCTGACATTCCTAAAAAAAAAAAACATAAAATAAAGTATTCGTTAGTTGTAAAAAAAATTCAGTTCAATACCTTCAAAATTGCTATTATAAAGTAAGTTCCAAATTCCATTTGACATACATTGTGTCACATTAGAAATAACAGATAATTCCTTATATGGTTCATTTTTTAAAATATATTTATTATTAAATTTTTTCATTTCATATATTTTCCATGCAGAATTTAATTTTTCATACATTGCTCTTATATCTTTTAAATTAAACATTTTAATATTTTTAGAAAAAAGAGATTCAAATAAAGTTATCGATTCAAAGAATATAGATGATATATTTTTATGTACTGATTTTTTTTGTGCAATTTCATTCTATATATAAATCATATAAGTATATATATAAAATATATGTTTTTTATTATAATATTATATGTATATTTACTTACCATTTTACTAAATTCTATCAAAAATATATGTAATACTTTCTGATGTTTTTGAATAAGTAATTTTTTTGTAAAATCAACATTTAAATAAGTATGATAAATTTTTAATGACTTAATTATTTCTTCTGTAATATTATTTCTATTAAAGTTATCTACAATTATTAAATTCTGCTCAAAAGTACAATAAGAAATTGTGTTTTCATGTAATGGACATTTTATATTATACTTGTTAATCAGTGTACAATCATTAGATTTAACTGACATTTTTTGTATTAGATTTTTCAATTCACTAATTGATGTTGTAGAACATTTTTCATCAAATTTACAATGTTTTGACTATACAAAGAAAATTATATTAAATATTATTAATTAATTAAGTATATAATTGTAAAGTATGTAATTTTCAGAATTTATAATAAATGAATTTATTAATAAAAAAAATTCATATATCAAAATATATAATTAAATATATCAGTAAGTAATAGTAAAATTAAAAAAATTTTAAATTATTGTAGTATATGTAAATAACATAAGTATTTTATAAAAAAAAATTTAATAAAAATTTAAAAACTTAAAAATTATTATATTTAAAATTTTATTAGATTAAAAAAAAATAAAAAATAATATATATCAGATATATCATTAATATATCATAAAAAATTACCTCTTTTATAGAACAATTAGATTTAATTTTATTTTCTAATTTATGATTAATGCTTTTGCATTGATTAACTTTTTCAATATTTTTAACATTTCTTTTATTTATTGCAAGAAAATTTTTAGTTTCTCTAAATTTTATTGAGTTTATTAATACTTGATTATTATTTTTTGTTTTTTTAATTGTATGTGCATCTATCTCATTTTGTACTTCTTTATCACTTTTTATCTTTTGATTATTTTGCTTTATAGTATTAAGATTTTGTTTTAAATGCATGTTCTTATTGTTAATATTTAAATTTTGTATCTTTTTTTTTTCTTATTTTCTATAATTGATAACATATAATTAAATAAATTAAATAATACATTATTTTTAAAAATTTTAATAATATTAATTTGAATATTTACCAGTTTTTTGATAATATTCATGTATATTGAAAAATTTTTGATTTTTTATATTAAAAGATGATTTCTCTCGTAATTGTTGTGTTTGTAATAATGTTCTACTAATATCTGCAGCAATTTCTTCATCTTCATTTTTGGACTTTAAAATAGAAAACAAAATTAAAATAACTTAGTTATAAAAAATTTTATAAAAAATGTATAACAATAATGTATAATAATCTTACTTTGAGACAAGTACAAACATCTTTATTAACTTCTTGTTGAGAATCAACAACTTCTATGCACCATGGTTTTAAACAATACATTGCTTCTTCACAATTTGCTTTTAGTATAGTTTTTACTTCTTCTGTCAGAATCAAGGTTCGATGTAAAAATTTAATCAATTTTGAAAGATTGAAATTTTGTAAATCTTCCATTGTTACTCTTGAATCTTGTTGTTTCTAACAAACAAAGATAAAAATAATTAAATAAGAAATAGAATATTAATGAAGAACTATAAAGAATAAAAAAAAATTATAAATTGCTCAAAGTGTTAACTGTATTTCTTATACACTAAAATATCATATAGATAGAATTTATGTATGATATATTTCACAATTTCTTCTCATACATATGCAGTTTTTTAACATATAACAACATTAAGTAAAATAAGTATTATATATTAAATATTATGATTTATTGATATTATTTGTGAAAATATGAGATAGACTGAAAAAAATTGAAATAAATATTTATGAAAATAGAAAATAAGATATAATTATATATATATATATATATATAATTTTATGTATATATAAAATTCATTTCTTTATAAAATTTTTATTTAAATTAATTAAAAAAAATATTAAAATCGCTTCTACTTTAAATATTCATAAAATTGTTATATAAATGCTGTAAATGGAAATATATATATATCATCTACAAGTTTAGAATAACTATTCTACAGTATTAGAGATAATTTTTTTTTTTAATATTCGTTTGTTGTACGAGCGCGTATGTGTTTATTTAATAAAAAACAAGGTTTTTTTTATAAAAATAAAATACGTTTTACGATTTTGCGAAATCCTTAGCCTAATGACCTTTCATAAGTTCATACATCAACACCTTCATACATCAACATCACAAGACAAAGATACTGTATCTAAACATTAGGGATTTTAAACAGTTTTTAAAGGGCACTCATACAAAAAATGATAAGAACGATGCGAACAACAGTATTTTTGAATAGTTTTTTGATATACAGATTATCTTTATATCAGACATTCAGATAAAATATTATTTTAAATCTAAAACATATAAAACAAATTACTTTATCTCTATGTGCAATTTATCACATTAGAAACTCAGTCATATGCGAAATATACATTGTAAACAGATTATGCCAATTATATGCATATATGATTATTATAAATATATATATATATATTTAATAATAATTATATATATGTGTATATATATATAAACAAACTCTATATAACACTGCAGAAATAAATTTTTAGTAATTGACATATAATAATTTGAAAACTTGATTTATAAATTAAAGTCTAAAAATATTAAAATAGAAATGGATGAGAAAGAAGTCTTCTATAAATTAATATCTTTGAAGCAGAATTATTAAGTTTATAAACGTTGTTATGAGAAACTATGGAATTGTTTCTTCATGATGTCACATATCTATAATTCATCTTTTCTTGGCACATCATCATCTTCATCTTCTTCTTGAGCCTGTAAAAATAAATATTATAATTTTATGTTGTTAAAATACAAATAATATCAATTATAAATTTTTACAAACTTCTTCTGCAGCTTGACCATAAGCACCATCGGATTCAATAAATTTAGAAAGTCCTTCAAGCGTTCTTTCACCATTATATTCTACAGCCTAAAAATTTACTTAATATAGAATACATTAATGTCAAACAAGTATAAGTAATATTCTAATTAATCCGAGATCCTTACTTCATTTGTTTCTTTTTTGTAAAGAGTAATTGTTGGATAACTACTAACTTTAACATCTTTTAATTCATTTGCAGTAGCATCCATTTTTGCTATAACTAAATTTTCACTGTCTTTATATTTTTCTCCAAGCTATAAATTACATTATATTTATATTATATTTAGTTTTTTTTAAATTTATCAAAATTGTAAAAATAATAAATATGTATATAAAACTTACTGCTTCGTATATAGGAGCTAGTTGTTTGCAGTGCCCACACCATGGAGCATAAAATTCAACTAAAACATTTTTCTTTTTATCATATGCAACTTCATGGAAGTTAGTACCAACAAGAACTTTTACAGGATTCTTATCCCAATCTTCCGGCAAATCTTGCGTAAGAAAATGTCTTTTTAATTTGCCTTCAATAAATGCAGTTACAAATTCCAAAACATTTTCACTAGATATTTCTGGTTTTTCTGGTTTATATTTAGCCATAATTTGTTCAAATTTTATAATACGCATAGCAGGTACTTCATTTTTTTTCATACCAAAATATTCTAAGATGCGTTCATGATCAGATTCATCAGCATTAATTGTCACAAATAAAACCTGTACAATACAATAAAATAAATTATTATTATACTATTTTATATTTGTTCGTTATTTATTTATTTTTGTATATTTATTATAAGTACCTCTCCACGGAATTTTTTTGCTGGTTCTTTAATTTTGTCTACATATTCTTCAAAATGACCAGCTTCTTTGCTAAGGAAGACAAGAAGATGGCTTTTGATATCACCACTAAATATCTTTTGTACTGTATCTTGATTAAAATCAACAACTAATGGCAGTGAATGTACAGAAATGAAGTTTTGTAATTTTTTAACATCAAGTTCTTCATTAAATTCTTTTCTGCCTTCATCAAACTAAAATAATTATTAAATATTATATGATTAAATTTATAAAGCAAAGTAGAATATAACAAATAAAAATTAATATACCTTTTTAAATAAAACAATTTTACCATCTTCTACTCCGTACTCATTGAAAACTTTATCATTATTAGTTATACCAAATACATGATCATCAACAGCATTACCAACTTCTAAAAATACTTTTGCACCATCTGATTCTATATCCTAAATAGTATAGTTTAGCATATATATATATATATATATATTGATTAAAGTTTCATAATACAATAAAAATCTTACATGCATATATTTCATTATTTTAAATGAAATATAAACAATATACTTAAAGAACCTTATACCTTAAAGAACCCAATAATAGCAATATTATGTGATTCAATAAATGATTTAGCTTCTTCAACTGTTGATAAATTTTTAGCAGCAGGGCCTGATTTTTTTACTACCCAGTTTACAATATCATCTGCTTGACGACCTCCACTATAATCAATAGCTGATCCTTTACGATAAAATTTAAGGGTAGGATATCCACGAACTCCATGTTTTTCAGCTAATTCTGTTTCAATAATTGCATCAACTTTAGCTAATTTTATAGGAAAACCACCATCCTGTAACTTTTTAGCTGCTTTGGCATATTCAGGCGCTAAAGCTTTACAATGTCCACACCATGGTGCATCTAAATAATATAAAATAATATAAGAAACAATTAATATGAATAAAATATCATATACTTATATAATTGTTATATAAGTATTATATTAAAAAATCTATTATGCAAAATAATAACTTAATATTTTATAATAATAATAATACATAATAATAAATGAAATTATATACAAATATATTATATACATGTTCATATATTTTACTGTGTTGTGATTGATTTTTATTTGTTTAAATATTCTACATGCATATAATATATTATAGTATTAATTTTTTATATAAAATTTTATATAATTTTTAATAGAATTATAATATTAAATGTAAAATATGACATATTATATCATATAATATATACATATTCATATAAATTTAAAATTTTATACATAATAATAATATTATATATTATTATTAAAATTTCTTTATATATAATAAATAATTTAATCTTATTTTATAAAAATTTTAATTTTACTTATTAATGTAAGTATTATGTTCATTTCATAAAATTTCCATTATATAATTATTCTATTAAATATCAAATTAAAATAATGTCAACAATCATGAATAATTTTATAAACCGGCTTCTAAATGATGACGTGTAAGAACTAACCATCTGGGTCAGATTCAATTGTATTTTGTTTTAAATATATATAAAAGTAGCAAATAAGATAAATATTGTATTATTATTTTTTTTAGATGTAATTAAAATTTATTCAAAAAGAAATCAAAGATTACTCACAAAATTCAACAAGCACGTAATCATTTTGTTCAATTGCTTCTTCGATGTTATCTTTTGTAAGCACTAAAACCGAATCTTCGATTTCAATTTTTGCAAGACTAAAAGTAAAGAAACAAATTATTACAATTGTTGATGTAAAAATCTTCATCTTTAAACGAAGACAATATTATTTCTTGATAAGTTATATCACGACACGTATATAAATTACACTTAATTGTACGACAAAATAACGGATTCTACCGTTACAATATTGAGATTAAAGTCACCAACACCATTCGTTGAAGAACATGAATAAAGTGACCAAATACAATGATGCAGAGGACTATACAGTTGGTAGATTGTGGTTAATGCGTGGCATCACATTCATCGTGGAAGATGCTGATTGGTCAACACAGTATTTAGAGATCCAGTAAGATATAATATAAGATTACTATATAAGAGTTAGAACTTCTTTTTTAATAATACAATTTTATTATTTCAATAAATGTATTTCATGCTATATTTTAATATAATCAATTTTTTTTTAAATAATTTTAATTATATTTTGTGTGTGTGTGTGTGTGTGTGTGTGTAAAAGAAACAAATGATATTGTTATATATATTTATTCAATATATTGATATATTTCAATTTTGAATTGATTGAAATTATTATCTTAATTTTTTTGTAAAATACTTTTATTAAAATTTATTATTTTCAATATTCAAAACTTAAATTTTTTATATATAAAGAAATAAACAATATATTTCAGCATATTTAAATAAGGACAAATATAAATTAAACATTTATTTCATATAATTATTTTTTATATTATAATGTATGAAATATTTTTTCGTATAATTTAAATATAAAAATTAAATTTTATTAATTTAAAAAAAATATTATTTTACAAATATTTATTTTTTTTTATTTTCTAATTTCAAAAATGTATAGTACAAAATATTTAATAAATCCATAAAAAAATAAATATAATCAAAATATTCAATAGGTCATATTTATATACAACAGTATATTACATAACTACAGTTAAAATATAACTGCCTAAAATAACAAATTAGAATTTAACCTTATATTTATTGTGAAATATTGTACATCAAAGAAATTTTTTTATATAAAAATTTAAGTAATATTCACAATTAAACAGGTACATTAAAAAGTAATTATTCAATAGTGTATAATTGTTTTTTTAAATATGAAAATATATTAATTATAAATAAATCAAAATGTATTACTTTTTGTTAAATAATATATCATTATTATATTATATAAGGAAAATTGATTTAATTTTTTATTTTATTAAATTATTTATATTAAATATTTAGATATCATATATTTAATATTTAGAAACAATATTAGAACAGAAGAAAAAGTAAATATACAATAATTTAAAACAAGCATTCAAAATTAAATATTTAATATAGTAGTAATTTTTTATTTACAGAAATGACATATGTAATAACATCAGAAATATTTATAGAAAATAAAAATTTGTAT